AGCTAGCTAATCAGGACCATCAAGTGTAACATAATCTTTAAATGTTAGTTTAGCATCACCACACTTTATTTAGGACCTAAAAACAACTGGTAAAATTGAAATATCATTTGGCGAAATTATTATACTTATTAAAGAAATATATCAGTATAATAATCCTGCTACTTTAAGTGCACTAATATACTGTGGGGAGGAACTTTACTCTGTGGTTTCAATTTTTCATGCATCGATGGCACAACTTTTATCCCTATTATAATGGATGTCAAAATTCCTCACCTAGACACTAAGCCTAGGGCTAGTTCATAACTAGCTAACTACTGAAACCCCCAATCACAATGGGTGAGGAGGTAGCAGATTAATCACTGAATGCTGAAAGACAATGTCAGACTTGAAATATTCTAACCTAATTATCTCCCCCCTTTGCTAGTAATGATCACTAGCTGAGTGCACTTCAATTTTGAAAAATCTCTACCAAATAAAGATGTTAGGTGAAATAAAGAATGAGGACTTTAATGAAATGAAAATGGATGAGTCAAAATGTACACAGAAAAGAGATACAACTTCAGAATCAACACAGGCTTGTTTTGTCTTTCTTTCCCATCTAAGAACTCAGAGCAAGAAATCACCATGTAAGAGCACTTATATTACAGTGGTCACACTAGGCCAGGGGACCTTGCTGGTCTTTCCCAACTTGCAGGTAGAATATCATTCTCACTACTCCCAGCTGGCATAAAATGGTAAGGATGACAAAGGCCCACAGTCCCCACAATCCAGAAATGGAGAGCTGGAAATGATTAGAATCTGAGATTTCAAACTTCAACTCCATTAATATAACCCAGTGGTTCCCAACTGGGGACAATTTTGCTCCCTGGGGAACATTTGGCAATGTATGGTGACATTTTTGATTGTCACCACTTGGGGGAGAGGGGTGCAATTGGCATCTAGTGGGCAGAGGCCAGGGATGCTGCTAAGCATCTATTATATAATGTACAAGATAGCTCATCACAAGATACCACAACAAAGAAATAGCTAGTCCAAAACGTCAGTAGTGCTGAGGATAAGAATCCCTGACCTAACTAGATCACGTGGCACAAACCCCGGGCCCTATAAACAAATCGATGTTTTATTTAAAAACTAAAACTAACTACTATATATTATTGTATCTTGAAGCTTTTTTTTCACCTCAGGTGTATGTTTTGCAATCTCTCTAATTAAAGTACAAGCATTTTTCTTCACGTATTCATCTTTGTCCTTCAGACAGGTAAGTACAACTGGAAAAATCTCTGCTTCAACGACCATTTCTGCCAGGTCCACAGAATGTTTCGCAACCTGACTGAGAGCTGAAAGAACCTGACGCTGTTAAGAAAAAAACAAAAGAAAACATTATGTAGAGCCCACTACAGAGCTCAGATGTAATTTAAACACTTTTATATATACTCAAATTGCTTTATAAAAAGAAAAAGAATTGTATATCTAACGTAAGATTTCTAAGTCTTGAGACATTCACATCCTAGTCTTATACTCAATTTTTTAAAAATTCCCAAATTTCCAAATTAGTTCTCTATTAACTTTTA